GTTTTTTGCCATTTGTCACAATTATTTTATACCACAATGATATTTTGTAATAGTTGACTGTGTCGAAAGCACATAATCGAAGGAGTTTGGGACTAAACAGTAAATATTGCGTACAAAATAGGAGTTACTCTTACAGTTACAGTTACTCTTTTCTTACTCATTGGTTCAAGGTACTGACATTCATTTGAGATTTTATGTTCTAAAAAATCTAGAAGAAATAAAAAAGCGTAACAGCAATGGTGGTATATAGAACAAAATGTAAAAAAGCAAAAACTTTGTAAAGATTTTAGCTTAAACCCAGGAGCATTCATCTTCTGATTTGTTTCAAATGTACTTTTTGTGTGTTTTAGTCACTTCCTCTTCATAGTTCCTACTCTCGTCATTGCCCCTGCTTTTCTTTGTATCTACCAGTCAATTCTTTCCATACATCCATTGATTTATAGCCCTTTCTTCAATCTCTCTTCACACTTCACTCCCTCTATCCGTACAGTACTATAAGTAGAAGACAAAAAGGAAGCCACGGTAACAGAGGCCTATTGGACCGTGAAATAGTTTGAGCTTTACTACAACTGGGAGCTTTTGACCGCATAGCACACCAGTCATTGGCATGGTTACCTATGGCAACAGAGCACTAATAGAACGGCCTTTTAAAGGGAAATGAAAAAGAACAAGTCAAGCTGGAGTGTTCATGTGTTAATGAGTAAATCCAAAACATGCATTAGTCCAAACAGACACAGGTTGTCTACAGAAAATGTGGCCCAAATTTTATAGGCACTGATATAATATGCCTCTTAACCAAACACAATGGTAACAAATGTCAAATCAAAATAAAACCTGTTAAATAATCACAACTTTACAACATAAAACCTAAAACAGTCTTTTTTTTTTTTTAAGCCCTCTGGTGCAACAGATTTTTTAAGATACCTGATAATTTACCTGATAGTTTAAATATCACAAAAAAGGACTGGTGCTAGTCTTTATAGGTATCTTAAAGGAAATTAAACATTTTCTTGGTCAATTTTGTTTTCATATTTTTAAAAGAAATGTTGTCTATTTAAATCAAGTCTTCAGCTACACAAGATCTGGTTAGAGCTTCAGCACATTCTGGATGGTTCAAAGGCATTCCCAGTGTACATACATACATATAGTGTGTGTATATATATATATATATATATATATATATATATATACACACACACACATACATACATACATACCCTTTCCATTGAATTTAGAAATTGAGAAATCACCATTACCCCTTTCCCACTGGCCAAAAAACCTGTTTACTCTGGGACAATTGGCTTTTAGTGGTGGGGAGAACAGCTCATGCCTGTTCAACGACTCGGCAAACAACGCATGTTAAAATCACCTCGGCTCTGATCGGCATGCTATGGGAACTCCAGAGCCGAGTTGACCAAATCCGAGGTCACTGAATTTCGTTACACCAATGAGCGCAACATACGGATGTCAATACACTGCGCCAGCCATGTCTGCTCTAACAAGCCAAAACAACTCTGTTTACATTCAATAAACATGGCGCAGGTAAGAGGGATTCGGATGGATAGAAGAACAAAACAATAAAGCACACCGACTACGCCCTTGCTCATGTTGCACTCCATTGTTTACTTTGCTGATTTGCCACACTGGTGAAATTATCAATGCCAACCCTTCATGATGGTGTCAACAGATGCGCAATGGGGGGACAGAGGCCACACAGCTTGTCAGCGGAGAATCAGAATCAGCTACTTTATTTTTGCCAATGGGAAGGGAGCCAAATGCTGATTGTTAGCGGGTAAACCCATGTTTGAAAAACCCAGGTTAACCCGCTATTTTCAGCGGGAAAGAGGCTTAACAGAAAGAAAATGAATGACCTAGAGTCCCCCAAAAATCCTGAAGAAGCCCTCTAAATATCTGTGTCCTATGCTGTCCCTTGATCCACAAAATACATGTTTGACTCGTCAACCATAATCCCATGACCCATCCAGCAATTATCCAAGGGTAAAGATCTAAACACCATTATGTCTATGTTCATCTAATGTATCAGGTAAACATTTGGTATAATTTGCATTTTGTTTTATCACCTATAATAGCAGTTGGTTTAAATAACGATCCATATTATCTAATCATCACTTTCACTGCCTCTATGGTGCCTCTGACTAACAGAGAATTTTAGTCTAATAAAATTCACATCCAATATCCTGGAGCTGGCACGCAAAAATAATTACAAGAGCACAACAGCATTAACCTGTTCCAATCCAGCCATTAAAGGGGCGAACATGCAGCCAGACCAGGGATCTCAGAAGCACTCCTATTGGAGCACTTATTTGATGAGATAAGCTATGACTGCAAACTATAAACCCCATCACCCACACACAGGCTTTGTGTAAGCAAACATGGGCACATTGGCCTTATTGTTTGTTTTTAGTCAGATTTATAGCCTTCTCTTGGTTTTAGCAGTCCCACCTGGTGCTCTATAGCTTTTATCTACCTGTAGATGAGGTAAGTTTTATCTCCCATGTATCTGAACTAAACATTTAGGTAAAAAAAAAATGTCTGGCCAAAAAAGGATTATCAAACTACAAACATGGATAATATTATTGAGCAAAAATATCCTTAGATGAGATTCTGAGAAATATGGGAGCCTTGTACCAAGCAATTTTTATGTGGGTAATCTGTAATGTTAAGATTAAAAAGGTTTCTTAGTTTTCCTAGTTCGGTCGGAAGAGAAGAACAACAGTACTGACTGTTTTTAGGAAAAATGTATCTATCACATGGAAAACCACTAGATCAAAACTTCACAAACAAAATGTCTTTCATTAGTATGATTACACTTATGTTGAATCAGTAATAGATAAAAAAAAATAGGAATACTGAGTGACCTTTTGAAAAGTATCACAATATTTTGTGTGGGAAAATTTTGAGCAAGCAAAACCTTTTAACACATTTTTTACTGTAAAAAGTAAAATTTGGTCATAGTCGTCAACAGAAGAACCAAAAAATTGCAGGCAAAATTATTTTTGCCTGCAAGTGGTCTAGCCTCAATCAAAGCCCGTTGTTGATTTTGTTCAATAAAAGTACGTTTTAAGATCATTTGAGACAAGAAAATTATACTTTAAAGCATCACTATATGGTCCATTTAAAGATTTAATGCGTAATTAAAAAAACTATTTCCCAAGTTGAGAGGACCGCGGCAACCAGCGGACCTCCGAGGCTAAAAGCAGCCAGGGCTAACTGCAGCCCCTCTGCAGCTGCCCTTTCTCGGCATAGTCATGTGTGAAGGACCACTGGCTCCGATGGCGATTTTTGACTCAGCTTTGGAATCAGTTTTGTAAGGATCAGACTTGGGGTTTTTGTTGAAACCGGAGCAGGAAGAGGCTCTACGATCATTTCGTTTTAAGAAGGACGTGTTCACCGTTTTACCGACAGGCTGTTTACACTCAACCACCAGCTTTCTGTAGTGCTTACTACATTACAGTCAGTTGCGCTCATTGGTCAGAGCGTTGACCGATAGGCACAGACATGGTTTGAAAAACCATGGGTTGTTCTCATCAACAATCTTCTGATGTCTCATTCATCTGGGCCAGACTAAATAACACACTTAATCTCACACTTAGTCTGGTCTATCAGGTTAACCGATTGGTGCTTGATTTTACAGACTCAGTTTTCATATAGACCAATTTTTCCTCCATGTAAAAGAGTTCAATGTATAGCAGCATCTATTTCCAAAAGCTGATGGAAACAGGTGAAGAAAGCTATATAAAGAGCAATTTATTATTCAGCAAAGCTTGATAATACTACTGTAGTTAATTTGTCCCTTTCTCAGCCATAAACTGATACCTTAACCTATAACAGGGAAAATGACACAATCTTACAAAAATAACAGCTTCTTCTTGGCCGAAGGGACTCTGATGCATAATGTTAAAAAGAAGACCGAGTAATTGTTATCCTCCAGCATATCGAATAATATAACTGATATTGCTAGACAGAATTTAAACTATGAAAATGTCCCTTGCTGGGACAAAAAAATTGCATCAAGTCCTGTACCCTGAAGCAAATGTTTTTCAGATGTTTTTGAAGCATGGGCTACTCAAGGGTGTCAAGAGCTTGTTCAGCATCTTCATTTATTTATTGAAAAGTGCTCTTCTTCTCACTGGTAGATCCAAATCAGCAAATTAAACACATCAGAAAGCACATCTGGCAGCAGTAGGAATAAGAAATTAGCTCCCATCTGGTCTCTTGGTCCGTCCCTCTCTTCTTTTTCAATGTCTTCACACCAACTTTGACTCATGTTACTCTTCCGTCTTTCATCACTCTCTCCGACTGCATCATTGCAGCTCTGAGTGACTCTTTCCTCCCTCCTACTAAGCAGTTGCCAAGGTAATAGCGTTTTTGTGGAGGCAGCTGGCCAGGCCTGTTGACCTGCCCTCCTTTTTACCTCCTCTCAGTGACTCTTTCCCCCTTTTAGTCATTGGTCATACTCAAAAAAAGTCTAAAGATGCTCATTCCTCTAGAAGAAGAGATGTGGCACAAATCATTGCTGTTCAGGCATCCATCAAATAAGGTGGATTCTTGTTTCCTTTGATAATTCCATCTTGGATCATGAAAAACAACTTCTGGATTTAGCAGTGTGGAGCATATCAGCTAAACCTCTCTTTTCTTAAAGAGTAACATTTAACCAAGTTGGAATAATCAGCATTTGATGATGCTATCTCTACAACCAATAGGCCCGCTTTAAATGAGCAGTTACTAATTAAATAAAATAACTTTCTGGATAAAAAGATCCCATCTACAGCATAAGTAGTTTAAGCAACAAGAAAAAAAAAAAACTGATAGCTGATCTTTATGATTTCTGCTATTGGCAAACACACACTCACACACACTATAACAGGTGTGAGCCTGCTGCCAAGAGAGGTGTTGTTTTACAATGTTCCCTGTAACAGGAGAACAACCTTCACACCTCCTAAAGCACAGCTTGTGTGGGTTTGTGTGTCTGTGCTTCAAGCAGATTCTGGTTTGCTTCATTTTCCAGTGCCAAACAAATGAATCAAAGATTCTGCACAGTCCAGGAAAACTGGTAGGATTTGAGTTTGTCCGCTGTTTGTAGGGAAGGATTATACAGCGGCTGGTAAAAGTAATCGTACTGTTTTACTCATTAGGTCACATTTAACCCCAGAGTTCAAAGTGTATATTGTTATGGAATTTGACTGGCTATAACAAGTAGTGGACGAAGGAAAAAGGAAGGGGAAGGAAATGATAAACGTGGCGTGCATTTAAATATAGCCCCTTGAGTCAATCCTTGTAGTGCAACCTTTCTCTTCAATTACAGCTGCAAGTCTTTTGAGATATGTTTCTACCAGCTTTACATATATAAAGTCAAAAGGTTTTTGACCCGTCTTAGGAAAATAGCACTAACTTTGATTAGATGAAGTGCATGGAAACATTTGAGTCTTGTCAGATAGTTGACGGAAAATTACTGCAGCAGTCTCATGATCATCTGACCGTGTGATCAGCCGATTTGGCCTGACCTCTAGGTCCAGCAAAGGTAAGTCCACAATGACAGGCTGATGTTGTTTGACTCAAGAAAATACCTGATGTAGGGGTTTGTAATATGTCACATGCATACTGTTTTTTTCTTCTTCCTTTTAACAGTAAAATAAAATCTCAGATTTTCCCACACTGCCTTGTAAAAAAGAATAAAAAATAAACATGTGACATCAAGCGCGTCCATGTTAAATGGGTCCAATCTAGCCAACAATCCAAGCTTTATATTCAAGATTGGATTTTGTGGACACCCAGAAGCGACTGGCATACAGCTCAACTCAAACACCAATGGTAACTCCACGTAATAAAAAAAAAAAAAAAAGGAAAAAAATTATGTATACTAAACTTTTGTTTAGTATGGGGCTAGCTTTGAGAACCAACAAGGCTGCAGTTCTGTGTATTGACCACAGGTGGCAGTATCACTAGAAAATATCATATTGCCTCTAAAGAAAACTTTGTGTGTTGAAGCAGTGATTAAATTGGGACTGGTGTAAACAGGGGCAAAAGGTGGAAACAACTGAAGTGTTTAAGTGTTCTTTCTGTATATGTCTTATGCCAAGTCCTCACCCCAATGATGACTTGCTAATATATTTTTAAGTGAGGTTATCCATCAGATCTGTAAACCAATTATGACAATAATAATAAGCTGTTTTGAAAATGATTTGACCTTTGACAAAAAAAAATCGTTATATAGGAAACCTGTACTGATTCTACTTGTCTAAAGATGCCTGCTGAATAGATTCCAAAACAAAAGAAAAAATATCTAAATTAACGAGTAAATAACAGCTTAGGTGATGAGCAGCTACAAGCTGTTTTATACACATGTAAAACAGGCCTACACAATTTTTAAAAACCACATGCAAAGACAAATGATTTTGATTTTCAACTTTCCATGCTTCTCTAAAGGCCCTCTTATTATGAATATTATATAAATACTATATAAGTTATTCCACTTAAGGATATTTACTAGATCAGGATCAAATGCATGAAGTTTGCTTTATGCTTGACGTGTCCGACCAAATTACATAATAGTGAGCTCCCACACCACTCTGTGAGTCCATGCGCACAGAATTTCCACACCGTGCACATAGGAAAATTTGTGACTACACAGAAAAATCCACATGGAAAAACATGGCGAGCTGGCAACAGCTCCTGCTGGTGAGGGTTTTTAAACATCTAGAGATCCTGTGATTTAGTTCATAAATACCCCAACTATCAATAGATTGTGGTTAAATTCCTGGAAAGAAATGACTGTCGCTCTTGGGTGGCATAAAGAGGCTTTGATAAAGTTGTAAATGTGTTTTCTGCTTCCTCGTGTGGTGTGATGTTGTCAGCTTGCAGCTTGTGCTGAACACCCCCCCTGGAGCCGGCCAGAATGGGGGAAAGCCACACAGAGCATAAATGCTGCAGACGCTGTGATGGGCAGCTCATTTTCCACGCGGATTGTAAGTGCATTAAGCATAATGAGCCTTTAACTAGTGCTTGTCATATGTTCTGCGTAAGGTTGGCAGAGGATTAGTAACAGGAAAGGTAGGGGTGGTATTTTCTGGAAATGTCTAAAATGATAGCAGATTTAAGATTTTCTTTGTGCTGCTGTTACGATTGCTTTCCTCTTCCACCAGAGAGGGACAAACAAATTACTTGATTGCTTTTGTCAACATTCTCAAACTATTCCAAAAACAAATTATACGAGGACAAATTTGGAGGGGAGGCGATAAAGATATTTAAACTTTGAGAGGGCCAAACTTTTCTCCATCTTCTTTTTCCTTTTCAATATTCCATCTACACCTTCAGTCAAACCGTAATCTTTCACAAGTCTCTTCCCATATTAATCTGCCTCTCTCCCTCTCCTTTATTGTAAAAGAGAGGGGAAAAAAATCAGGTTAGCGTCAGCCTGAAGGCAGTCTTATTTAGATTAGACAATATTGGCTTTTCAACTTCAGTTATTTCTTGTTATTTTTTAAGAACTCTGAAATCAAATCTGAAAAAAGCCACTAAAATAAACTAAAGTATTTTGTCTTTGAATCAAATATATTCTTAGCATTCTACATTTCATATTGCATGGCCTTAATTGACATTTTGCAATAACCAACATTAAAGATAAAGCAGTCAACCCTGGCATTACTATTATAAGACCACCTAAAAAGAGAAAATTCATGGAGTTCATTCTATTTATAATTTTACTGGGCAGAAATATATATTTTGCTTTTCCTAAATATTTTGTGCAATACACAACTGTAAATATTCAAAATACCTTTTCTTTAAACCCAAAGTTTCGGACAAATTTATTTCATTTAGTCCGATGTAAAAGTCTTAGTCTAAAAGTCAATTTTGCATTAGCTATGTGAGGAACCTTTCATAAAGGTTGGAAATAAATGTTTGCGTTTAATTAATCTTGTCGATACGAAAAGATACCAGAAGGAATAATTGAAGACAATTTTTCTTCAATCCTCAGGCCACTGCTGCTTGTGCGCACTGCTGTGACTTTGCGGGCTACCGTTGCATTGTGGGGACTGTAGTTTTGGTGAAGTATTGTTGCACGCATCAACACTACGTTCCCAGGGGAAAACATGATTGTGTTTTTCTTTTACTTTAAGTTTTTTGTTGTGGTTTGCATGTTTAGATTGTTTTGGTTTTTGCTTTCTTCTTTAACATTCCAAGCTGGGCGGAAGTCGGTTGTCTAAGGAGGCGTGGTGTCCTAACTGCACTCGACAACTGCTGGTCGCAGGTGTCAGCAGAGGCTAATTGAAGCCAAAATAAAAGGAGCCTTGATGGAGGGAGGGACGGAGCTGATCTTGCAGGTGATAGAGACGGACACGCTGCTGAACGAGGGGCAGGTGGGATCCGCACGATACTCTGATCGAGACGGAGCGCTACTTACAGGCACGGACCTCTGCCATGACTGTGCCGTCTATTTATCTCCCGGTACTCTGTGCCTGGCGTGCAGATCCCACGAATACGAACAATGAAACTTTGATTTATTTTATGTTTTTCTTATTTTACTATTTGAAAGCAGTGATCGGTAGGATCGGAGAGCAGCACAGTAATGCATTTTCGCGGTATTTAGGTACGGTATTTATCTTAATAAGTTTATTAATAGAAAAGTTTAATAATATTGATATTTTGTTTTTTTTTTTAACTATGTGTTAGGTCTTGGTTCAATAGGTTTTGTTAATTTCAATATGTTTTAATAAACATTTCCCCAGGCTTGTAGCAAATCTGTTTTTTTGTCCATCGGTGTATTTGACTTTGACATCCCTGCATTAAAGGGTTATCTTATCGGTTATCTATATCATGAGATAAGGGTCAGTTATTATGGTTATAATAAAACACTTAGACAGCAACTGAGGTTTTTCATGTTTGGTTCTGTAATGCTACATCTAAACTCCTTAAGAAGATGTCATGAACCAGAGGGCCGGTAGTTTTTGCCATTTATTGGCAATACAAATTATTGTGGTAAACTCTAAAGGAACCTGTTTTAACATTGGAAATTTCTCAGTATATTGTGGACCACTACTTTAGTAAACCACCAGAAATAAAATACTTTAGACCAGCAACTTCCTCTACATTGTATGCGAAACAGCAGCTGTATCGGATATTGTTGTTGTATATCAGAAAGAGAACTCTACTTCCACGCACTAAAACAATGAGATATTTTACCTTTATATTCATAAGTTCTAGAAGCAAACTTAGACCATTTCCTTCCACCCCAGCAAGGAGCAATATTCTGCTTCTAACAAATAAAGTCTGTATTCTAAATAAAGCAATAAAACAAAAAGACAAAAAAAAAACACCTCTCAATTCCAAATGGTCATTTTGATTTTAAATTGTTTTAAAGACAAGAAACTCATGACAACCTAAACAAAAATTATGTGGATTTTCTTTGTGAGCAACCTAACATTGATAACCCTAAGCATTCAAATTGATCAGAGGTCGAATGACTGAATCCTTTAAATTATCCTTTAATAATCCTTTACATTTTCATCAGCTAACATATTTCAAGATGTCCCATTAGTGTTATAGGGGGGGGGGGGGGGGGGGGGGGGGGGGGGGGGGGGAACTTGTAGAAAGTCAGCACTAATGAAGTCCGTAAAAGACAGATCTCCATGAATCCCATTTCATGAACAGATTATGTAGCCATCTGGCCCTGTATTAAAACTGACACAAAGTTTTCATTAATTAACCAGGGTTATAGAACATATGTGGATGAACTCCTGATATTATAGAGTTTGGAAAATCCTTCAAAAGAAATCTAAAGGCCAAGACAAGAAGACTTTTGGTATACAGCAATTTATGGGGATGGTTTAAATGAAAGCAGCTAGTGTTTTACAAAAAGTAAAAGGGCATACCGAGAACCATCTGTTAAATATAAGGAAAACTGTTTTGGACAAATATAACCGTTAAGCATTGTGCCGTGTTTGAAAGAAAAGATGAAAATCATGTTCAGTTTCAACCATTTCTTTCAGCATGATCTTATTTTATCAGCATGAACAAAATAACATCATGACTGATAGATGATGACTTTATGAAACTTAATATCCAAGTTTACTGCTCCAGAAAAATTTTGTGGGAAGAAAATCCAGGTTGCTATGTTACATCAACGGTTGATATTCGGATCAAGTTTCCCACACTGTGTTTCACAAAGAAGATTACAGATGCCGAATCTGACCACTGACCTAAAAGGCTTCCTGTAATGTGGTCCAACAGCAACCACAATGCTCACCGTGAGTCGCCATTAAACAGAAACTCTGTTCAGTAAAGCTTTGAACAGAAGATTCATCCTTTCACTGCAGGGAATCTTAAATGAAGGTCTGAGCCTGAGCTGAACAAAAAGTCACTAGCCTGTTACAACCAGTTGCCCCTGGAGGGTCTCACACAGTAAAAGGCCACTTAAAAAGAGCAACTTGATTTATGGCTTAAAAAGGCTTTTGTGCTTTAAAATTAAGTCAACAAAACACATGTTCTTTGTTGGCATTTAAGGATATCCTGCTGTTGGAATTCTTGAACCATATCCAGCATCTAGCTAGTGCCTCTTAGCAAATCGTACTCTAATCATTGTCAAAAAATGTCATTCAGTTTCCTCACTAGGACATTTTATCTAATTAAAATTCAAACTAACAAGTACCCAACCAGTAACTGTATTCTCTTAAACAGTGGCTTCCGGAATCTTAGAAGCCAAGTCTATAGTGCTTACTGTGCAAGAATACATGAAGGAATCAATATGTTCCCCGAAGAACACTAAAAGAGCTGCATGATGAAATAAATCACAAGCCTAAACATAAAAAAGAGCATAAAAAAGAAGATATTAGAAAAAAGGAAATGAAAGAGAAGAGGGGCAGCTGCTAACAGGTATGGAATTGTTGAATTTGTTGAATAAAGCTGTCCGCCATTCCAATTAATCTGGCCACCTCATCAAACCAAAATTTCCACATAAAAGATTAGCTGATAATGAATCCTCTAAATTATAAATTGCAATTCTTAATGCAAAATGTGAGTTACTATGACATTGTTAAGATTTGAATTCAAATGAAAAAGCTACTTACAAGATTTCGTCGTTTTGAAATTCAAGGACGCCATGAGTGTCTTCAAAGTCCTCCCCGTTGCCTCGAGCAGTCCCTTCCACAGTCTTGTATGGCAGCATGACCACACCGCGAGCTCCAGAGGTTCTCAGCACTTTCACCTCCATTATACCAACACTCTCACTGACATGGCAAACAGGCTCCTCGAACGTAAAGATACCGGCGTGGTCGTCATCGAATATGGTAACGGTGGCTGTTGATGGTATGCCAATACACGCAATAGAGTCAACATGATTAGCTGCTTCATTTTCTTCTGGCTCTTCGCCTTCTGAGGCTAACACCTTGACATTGGACAGATGAATAAGGAAGTTTTCATCCTCCTCGAAAATGTCGTCATCGATGATTCCCACACGAATTTCCTTCATGGTCTCGCCTGGCTTGAACACTACCACACCCTCTGTGAATTCGTAGTCAGAACCAGCATTGGCAGTGCCGTCCTCCGTCCGGTACTCCACAGACACAGTCTTGCCCAGATCCCCGCCTCTCCGGACCACATTTACAGCCACTGTGCCGCAGTTCTCAAGACACTGGTAGGAGCCTGGCTCAAAAAAGATCTTGGAGATTGGATCATTATCACAAGCGTCGGAGCGGACCTCGTGCATGCTCACAGCCTTTCGTGCCTGGTCTGCAGCATGTTTCTTCAGAATGTTGCCTGCACCAGTCATGAGTCGGGTGGCCTGACACCGATAGAAGGCTCGACTTTTCTGCTGCTGGCTAAGGACTTGGTAATTGGCAAGTTCAATGAGTTGTTCCACCTAGTAAGAAGAAAATTTTGAATTGTATTAAAACATGCACCCTGAAGCAATTAAATAAGACGTTTTGGTTTTTACTTATATTTCCACAACACTAGAAAACTTCCTAACCCAGAGATTTCCAAATTGTTGCCAAAGGCCCATAAACCCCTTAGCTCCCACATTTTTTGTCAAAACAAAATTTAAACCAGTAAATACTATAAATCCCACATGCTTGTGATGTGTGTCGTTTGAAAGATAAGATTTCTTGAGGTATGTGTACAAACTAAGTTTTAACCAACTTGACCTATTTAGCTTCAAATATGTCCAAAATGCTAATTTATTTCTCTCGCATTATAATTCATAGCTGATGTCTCCAGCTCAAATTACTTGTTGATGTTGCTCAACAACTGCTTAATATTGCAGGTCTCTAGTCATAAGTATTGTGAAATTGTGACCATGTATGCGAAAGGTCAATCTGGCACAATTGATCCAAAGTAGGACCAAAAGTGCCAATCTGGATTATTTGAATTTTATGACTTATTTGAAATTTTAAAAAATTCTACATGTAGCTTCACACAAATTATCATTAAAGCACTTTCTTTTATAATTTTTCTAAATCAGCAATCTGGACTTAGCCTTCCTGTTCATATCCGGTCATTTCTCCTCTAAGAGCCACTAGTGCTCTTTTTTGGAGAGAAAAAAAAAAAAAACTTATCTAATTAGCTAACAAAATATGTCAAACGTTTGTGTTCGTTTGGTCACCGAGTTGTGGAGTTCCAGCTGCGCAAAGACTACAATGTCACATCCACCTGGGGACGCCGTTTCTCACTTGCTGGAGGTCTTTGACATATTCTGGATACCGAGAAAATAACTTAAGCTTGATTTTGAGATCAATGTTGATGTTGACTAACTTAAGAGTAAGGTCACTTAAGGCTATTTAAGAAATGTATTTTAGAAGTTTTAAGAATTCTAGCCAAGCAAATTTTACTTATCCCTACCACCATTTTTGTTTTTCTCGAAACAGGTTTGAGCAAATCTAGGAATATTCAAGTGTATTTTCTGCAGTATAGTAATTGGTAAATATATATTCTTGTAAGTAGTACATTAGTCAATTAAAAGCCTTTTCATCTATTTTCAAACCAAAATGTTGACATTTTCTTATTTAGTTTATTGAATCGGCTTAATCTAAATCATTATGAGGTAATAAGCAATTATTGGTCACAACGATCGGGCTGGACAGTATTATTTGTTTCACACAGCAGGAAATAACACTAAGGGGTAAAGATTATCTTTATTGGGTAGTAATGAATCACTATGTTACCAACCTCCTTGTCAGGGTGTTTCTGCTTGAGCTCCTTCAGGATCTTAGCCATATCTCTGCGGGTTTCCTCCTCGTCCAAATCCTTTTCATCAATATCCAAACCCAGCGGACCATCCAGGAAGTCAACACCATGAGAGTTTAGCATCTTTCCATCCATCTCAATGTCCACCTTAAAATAGAAATAAAAAGAAAAAAACATTAGTAACCAGAGACAAAAAAAAATTTATCTTTTACAAAAATCCATAAAGAATCATTACTGTTTTTTTTATTAAACTTGTTTCGAAAACAGATTCTAAATGGTTAAACATAGTAATATCTTTAAATGCTAACTGAAATCCGTTACTGTTTGTCTGCAGGTTTAGCATGGGGTTGTGTTTTTATTCATATCTTTTTTTTTTTTTGTATTTTCAGCACCAACTAATCAATGCATTTAACACGTAACACTTCTTTAAATTAGTTAAACACACTTCAATGGCAGAACTTATGTATTGAGAGAATTATATATTAAAAATTAATAATGGTTAAACTTTGCATTTACTTCAAAATTAGAAAACAGATAAACAAAAAAAAAAATAAAAAAAACATTTTTACCATCAACTTAAATTGAAGCAAAACTAACCAAAAAGAATAGAGCAGTAAAGCAATAATACTTGTTTTAAAAAGAAACTTTTAACACACACAGGAGAAAATATTTAAAGAGCTCAGAGTTTAAGCAGTGAAAAACCAGAGTAAGTATAGAGTGGTGCACTTTTACCTACAGTATGTCAATATTGAAATTTAAAAAAAAGTTAGAATAGGGACCTAGAAAAAAACCAACTGAACCTAGTTTCAGTGACACGCTGAAAGAAATGGTGAGATATCCAAACAGATGTGCTTAGGGATAAGCTATCAATTCGTTTAGTTTACATGCTTGTTCTTTACAATTAATTAAAAAAAATTGTTGAATGAAAAGATGTTAACGATTAAGATGTTATATATGCACATATGCATATATAAAATGTTAAGATTGACTAAAAACAAATAGGAAAGCAAATAAGAAGTTCTCTTCATCAGATTCAGATTATCAGTCAGATTTAAAAATTTGTGGAAGCCATAGTGGATTAGATTGGCACTTGAGAAAAATTAAGTTTTTTTTTAGTGAGAGTCTTTCACCGATGGTACAAAGCACCAAATATGGCAGAAATTCTCTTCAGGATATACCTTCTAATAAAAGAATGTTGTTTGGCAGAAAATCCAATATGGCCCCTACAAAAAAAAAAAAAAAGGTAGTAATTGAATGTATTAATAATCCAACAACCAAAATGTATACCAGAAGAATGAAATGGTGCCAAATGAATTACAAAGGGTTCCAGTTTTCATTATGGTGGCAATAAATTTTTTTTTTTCAAAGATTTCTGTGATGATCTTGAGTGAAAATCTGCAGGATTTAGTGGGAGTTGTCTTTTTAATAATAATATGATAAACAGTATTCCTTTAAGAGGTTTTTTTAAGTAAAAATAAGCACACACGATACATTAAAATAACTTGAATTATCTCAGAGTTTGACAAAAATCACTAACAATTAAAAAACAAACATGATTTCTCACACATTCTCAATGGCTTGTATGAGACACACAGGAGGAGAGTCCTCATTTTCATTTCTGGGAGTTTGTATTTTTTTGTTTTTTTTGTTGGTCAGGTCTGTCAGAGAGACACATTTCAAGTAATATTGTAAATAACTTTCTGCTCTAATCCCTTCTTCTTTGCAAACAACAATGTGAAGTATGCTCGATGGTTCCCCTTTCCCCTCAGAGAGATGGTTTCTTTATCTCTGATAGATACTTTCTCAGGCATAGACATTGACCAAGCTCATGAACAGGCCAATGCAGTTCTTAAAGGTGATGGTGGTGCCATTGGAGTTACTGAGGATCCATCTGCACTGAGGTTGGTGTCCGGACCAGAAGTTGGCCAGTATGTCAACTAGTATAAGTTAGCATCTCAGAAGCAACTGACTTTATGAGCAGACCAGTCTCAGAAGTCCTTCAATGACAAGGCCGAGAGGTTGCTTATTTTAAGGATCTGGGCAATCCTTTCCAGGAAGAGTCCAAAGATCTGCTTACATTGGAAAGAAAGACCATTCCACATGCATGTGCTGTACATCTTGTAAAAACAAACTGAGAAAGTTCAAGCTGCCTACAGAGAACTTTTCAATGTCGGGGTGATGAGAATTCCTTAGGCTGATTAAAAAGAGCAAATTTGACTCATCTCTTATGTTATTTTTTTAGCATAGTGTAAAATAGCATGACAATGTATTAACTTAATCAAGATAATGAACCAATAAAAATACATTTAAACATACATTTAGCTTATTATTTAGGGGAGTTAATTAGTTTAATTCATTAAATATCTGGTCGTTCTGGCTTCACAAGACATCATAATTGCTCTTTTTCTAAGACCATTTTAGGCGGGGTCCATCACCTGGCAAATATCCAACTATTGTGGCAGCTCTAGTATCCCATACTACTGAAGCACTTGCTGACAGCACTTTTATTTGTCTCCAGGCTTTTAAATAAGAATCAGTCTTAGACAAGTACATCAGTCTAAATTCAGAATTCTTGCTTAAATTGATGCACAATACCTCCGTGATTCTGCAAAATGATAGGATCTCTATCCCTTTTAAAGCCTTTTTGACATCTTATGATGCAGAATCAAAGTAGGAATGAAAGATGCAGCATGTTTTTTGTAGCGACAAGAAGCAAAAGTTGCATCAAATACACAGGATTTCACAGCTGGCACAATTTAATCTTTGCACACCCAGAGTTTTTTCCCCTAAGAAAATTTTCTGTTTTGCGTTAAGCACCAGGCTTTTTCAGAGCAAAGGGTTAAAGTCTAAATTAAGTCATTACTAATTAGTGTAAAAGACATTGTCATCAAGGAGATTTGAAAGTTGTCAAATTTGTGTGTAATGGGTTTTGCAGCTTCAAGTCTGCAATGCAGTTGAATTTCTGAAGCAGGAGTAGTCTGCATTCAATTTTCTCTAACCCCTACAGTACAAAATAAGATGCTAGTAAATTCAATGCAAAGAAGAAAATTAACATTAGCCTCATATTTTAGCAAACCGCTTCAAATAAAAGTAGTTGTTAAACACTACAAACAGCTTCACTATAACCCTTCTAGCTTTGTGCTTTCAAGAGGCTTTTGAGAGGCATCTGAATTCTTGATTATGCATCAGGCATAATTCAGTCAGAACTAAATCATTGGAAATTTCATTTTATAGAAATAAATGAATACTGACTTATTTTTAAGCACCAATTTACAAATATTAAATATTTCTCAATCTATTGTCACTGAATGCACTAAAACAGACTGCCATTTTTTTATTAATATCTCAGATATTTTTAATAAAAGCTTTGCTATAAAATTATTAAGATCGTACAAATAAACTATATTATACTGTAGAAACATATTTTAGAACACAACTGACAAAAAACTAAAGTCTGACATGAAGGAATGTGAGTCAAACTATATCTATATTTATTTATTTAGATATTTTAAAAGCTCCTTTATCAGAGCTACTGCTACATTTGATAGGCTGTTTCATCCTAACTAGAAAGTAAAATCTCCAAAGACACAGGAGAAAAAAAATTCTAACCCAAAACATTTCTATACATGTCTTAAAATTGGAAAATAAATTCAGTGATTGGAAAAAATAAATAAATAAAAAAGAAAAGAGTCTCCACCACAACAATAGAAGCAATTACAGAAATGCACTGCGTCACAATACAAAGATCACAGGCAATAAACAGATGGAATTAGATCAGAGGTCATTTGTGTTTGTAGCTACAAGTTTAATTCCATCATTTAACTTCACAGCACACACTAATGCTGTTAATTTCAAATTTAAAAAACACCAATAAACTTACAACAGCATAACAGAGCAACTGTTTTTCTCCCATGTATTAATGAACAAGGACCACCTCACTGTTTTTTCTTTGTGAATTTGACATTATTGTACAATTTCTAATGCCTTTTATTGTTTATTTTTTATGAACAACTATGAGCTTTCCATTATCATTTTTGAGCTGTGTAAATAAATATCCTATTTGCCTATATTGTTCTGTTTGGCTGGCTGTTCTGAAAAATATACTTTCAGAAGAACAGGTCTCCCAAAAAACGTGTGGTAGCAATGACATCTATGTCATTTGACAAAGTCTTACCTTGGAAGGAAGTGGACGATCTCCCTCCGTCTCAATGATCATGCCACGCTGCTTGCCAGTGCGGTAACGCTTGTAGACATACTTGTAGAACAGCAGCCTACGGTCTGCCACCCATGCGAACACAACGCAGATCGGGAAGAAGAGGAAAGTGAGCAGACCTTCCCAGACCTGCACCACACCGGGGGATATCACCGACAGGATCAGGTAGAGCCAGATGTAGGCAAAGATACTCCAGGCGGCTGTGACAAAGAAGACTCTGAGGTGCTTGACCTTCCTCGTCTCTCCATCGGGCACAACGTACACACAGATCCCAATGATGACAAACATGTTGAACGCTGCAGAACCCACAATAGTAGAGGGGCCCAGTGTGCCAGCATGGAACCCATGACCCACTATTTCTATGACAGAGAGTAAGATTTCAGGAGCAGATGAGCCCAGAGCCATGAGGGTGAGATTAGATACAGTCTCGTTCCAGATTCGCACCGTAGTTTTGGTGGTTTCTCCATTGGGCTTCTTGATAGTAATCTCTTTTTCCTGTGATGTAATGACCTCTATCGATGCCATGAAACGATCTGCAATTATTGACACACCAAGGAACATGTAGACCAGAGCTACAAAGTAAACCGTTGCTCTGGCAACCTTGTCTCCAAATGATGGGTTTTGCGGCTCCCACATGGGTAGCAGCACCCCATTTTCACACTGTTCAGGTTTGCTGCATTCCGTTTTATTTGTAGACACGGCAGAAACAGAGCTGCCCAGGCTTTGCTCGGGAGCGGCACCAGCCAGCGTGGTCCGGGGTTCCAGGAGGAGAATCACAGTAACAACAGCTAGTCTCAGTGCAGGAGACAGGACAGACGAGTGACACCTGTAGCCCATGGTGATGGTAAATCCAAGACTTTTAGCTGAAGTGTAGTTGTTGACCTTAAGAGATAGAAAAAAAAATGTTTAATTTTAGACTGTTAGTCAAATAGCAAAAAATGTGACCCTGTTTGATTAAAGATGAATATGTAAGAAAATTGCCAATTCGTTTCCAAATGCTGAAATTTAGGTATGCAATCATTAAAAACTTAAAAGTTAGCAATAAATCAAAGTGTGTAGCATCTATAATGTAAAAAAAGCTGTAAAAATTTTACTTTTAATTGGGTTGGTTTGAAATACAAAAGCAAACTAAAACATCTGTTATATTGTTAGTAACTTCCCAAAAAAATATTTTAAACTTCTTTAAAATTCTTTAAAATTAGAGCCACTTTCACATTCGTATTGTAGAAATACTGGCATCGAATAAAGTAATTCTTGTGTTCCCAACTGTAAGGCAGCACGATTGATTTATGGACCACGACCTCTTTCTAAGCCATGATCCATACCTTACTTGGTTTTAAAAAGACACGCTTTTTTAATACTGCATTGAAGATTAACAACTTGTCTGAAAATGGATTTATTATTTTATTACGTTTGTCTTTTTCACTCCGGTAAAATTATATTTTGTACAGCCCTTGCAGTAAGATCGCTGCAAAGCCAGATTGCCGTTGCAATGTTTCTTATCCTTACACCATTTGGTGTAGTTCCTCAGCCTCTTATGGATTAACACCTATTAAAAGGGTGTAAATGATACAGTACCTGTATTCTGATCATATATATGCATTGATCACCAACTCCCAATGTGCTGTCTTACTGTCCCACCTACTGAATGATTGATTGCTGTTATCTGGGAAACTTGTTGGATTTCTTTGTATTTTCAAAATGGTCCAGAAAACCTTATTTGAACATTTCCCTTTAAAAAGTAAGAGCAATTAAAATGAGCAGGAATAACAAGAAATGATGAATCGGTTTCTCTGTTTAATATAAACAAATGTTGTATGATTCCATAAAGTAGCCTAAACATAAAAAAAACTACTGTGAGGTCAATCACATGGCTGTTAGTTGTATTGGAGCTTACAAAATAAGAAACTCTGCTGTTTCTATCGGGAATCTGTTGTTTATCTTTGCTATATGATGAAATAATTAGGACTGCTCCAATAGGTATCGTTAGGGGCTGTGCCGTTTCTATTTTGTGTCAGACAGATGTGACTACCAGGCTCGGGCACCACTCCAACATGAAGATCAGGCAGGTGCAGCAGTGGAGGTGAATAAACAAACACTACTATTGTAGAACCTCCACTGATGGAGAATTATTTTGACCACAATATTTCATGCTTAAATTTACTCAAGCAGAAATCTGTACCAAGGATCAATTGGGACAAGCACATTTTAATACATTTAAAAGAAACAATATCTGTATTTGTTAATCAAAACTAATAAATATATTTTTATTTCACTCACATAAAATTTATTTAATCTGTTGCCTTACAAATCAAAAATTTCTTGCTACCTCTTTATATAAGTTATTTAAATATGTGCATGTTTATGTTCAGGGGCGGATCTAGAAAAATATTTATGGGGTGGCAAGAGGGGGACAGGAATTTTTTAGGGGTGGCAACATATGGCATTTGTTTACACTGAATTTAATCACAGTTATCACAGTTTGGTGAGAATAGTATGTACAGTACTAGTGTTTCATGTGAAAAAGTTCATATTAATAATACATCGTGATACAATGTGATCTCACTTAATAGGAGATAGAACAATGATAACACTACTTCTAGAGGGGCCTTATGACAGGAAAGGTATTAAGGTAAGACGCAGGTGCTGAGTCGCAGATGTGTGAGATTGACTGTAGAGAGGCAGCTTTGCAGCATTTGCACAAGAAGAAACTATAGAAAGAAAAAGTTACCCATCAGAGATCTATGGACTGAGCTGTACTAAAGTGAGCAGAACAACACAGTAGAAATAAATGGGTCAAGGCACCCGAACAAGGTACTGGACATCTATGTAATGTTTACTCTGAACACACATTTACCCCATTTGTTCCTCAGTAACTTGACATACAGCAGTTAAGGCAACATGAAAGGGACATTTCATGCATGTAAATATGCTGTAGATAGAGCTGTATATGGAGGACCAACTCTGCCATATTTAAAAATAAATACAGAAATAAATAAATGCTCAATAAATAAATAAGCATACAATTAATTGCCACCAAAAATACAAACAACAAATAAATGTAATTAGAAATTATATTATAATGGCAGGCAGAAATGTTAAAAGGGCAGGCAGAAAGAAATAGCGGTGAAGAAATAACTAGGGTGAAAAAATACAAAGGAAGAATAAAACAGACAAAAATATGATAACATGCACATAAATAAATACTTAAAAATATAAGTATTAAAAAATGAAGTTGAAGATAGTAAATGACAAAAAAATATATAAGGTAATTATTAAAAAGGCAAAGAAATAAAGAAGCCAATTAAAAGAGTTATATACCTTTATGACTAGCTGTATAATTTAATTTCTACTTACATTTATTTGTTGATTGTATTTTTGGTGGCAATTAATTGTATGCTTATTTATTTATTGAGCATTTATTTATTTCTGTATTTATTTTTAAATATGGCAGAGTTTGTCCTCCATACTGCTGTATCAACAAATCAACAAAAAGGCGGGTTCTGTATGTTACATCAAAATCTCCACAAATCTGAAAAGAAGCAACATAAAAATACATTTTGCTTGTGAGTAGGTTCATACAGGTCATTTCTGGATAATTTCATATTATATATTCAAAAAAAGAAACAACAACACTGCTTCATATTAAGCAGGATTTACACCAGTATCACATTTTTAACTTTTAACACTTTTGGTTTTATTAAAGGAAATATCAGATTTTCTCAGGTGCCAAAACAAAATGTAGCAGCTCTGTAAAGGCTCACCAGAGAGCAGAACATAAAGTTAACATGACTATAACAGCTGAATGCAGTGATTTCCATGTTGCTCAGCAAAACGCTTCACAACTTTATTTAGATCCAATGCCTTTGTGCGTTTTGATTTGAGTTCAACCAAACTTAATCGTCTCTTTTCTGTCATAGTTGACCGCAAATATGTCTTTATGAGCCTGAGACGTAAGGCCTAACTAACATCATAGATAGAGAAATAACGTTCTGCAACCTGATTTTTATCATCTCAAAATCAGCACTGCAGCTATGCTAGCAACATTGTGCTTTCATTATGATTTCATTTCTCGATAGATAGTTAATCAGTTTTCACCTTTTTCATCCCGTTTCTCCTCTCCACATCACCCCTGGCTCCCTCGCTTTGCCCCATTCGGTTTTCAAAACAATCAGTCTCAGTCGCTCTCGCGTCATCTCGTGCTGCATTCACTGCAGTCCGACATTGGAAATTAGCGGTCGTAATTCTCATATGATCCATAATTTATAAGCCTCGCCACCCCTACGGCCAACTGGGGTGGCAGCTGGGGTGGCAAGGCTGTCATTTAGGGTGGCATTTGCCACCCTATGCCACCCCAGTAGATCCGCCTATGTTTATGTTTGACTTTACCAGATATTCGAATCAAAGATTGATGAATCAAGACCTTAAGTATTTGCTAAGTCCTCTCTAAATATAGAGATGAATACCATTATAAACAGAATTTTACTGATAGATTTGTCCTATGAATATAATATATAGATAACTAGTGTTATTAAATAAATTTAAAGCTGGATTTAACCTTGATCACTAATAATATACATCTTTTGATGTTTTTTTGCTAGCATTTCGTGGTTATAGGTTAAATCATGAACTAACTATCAAAACATTCTACATAACAAATTTAATTAGCTTTAAAATGTATTGGGATAAAAAAAAATTTCCGTCTTCATGGAATACAAGGCTACTATTAAGCACAAGCCAAAATAAAATATTCCTTTAAGTTACAGACGTAACATTAGCCAAAACCTTTTCCTCACACATGCCTTCCGCATATCAACGGCACACCAGCATTTGCAAATAATGAATTTTTAATCATACTGACTGTGCAAAATTCATCAAGCTTCAGCTGTTCCATGGGAACTTTCCTTCTACACACTCATGAATAACTAAGTGTTGAATAAGTCAGACTAGTTGTATATAAATAAAAACACACATAACAGACCAATGATTTAAACATTTGGGTTGATAAAAGAAGTCACAATTGTTTGTAGGCCTAATATTAATATATATATATATATATATATATATATATATATACACACACACACATACATACACTATATTGCCAAAAGTATTTGCTCACCTGCCTTGACTCACATATGAGCTTAAGTGACATCCCGTTCCTAATCCATAGGGTTCAATATGACGTCGGTCCACCCTTTGCAGCTAGAACAGCTTCAACTCTTCTGGGAAGGCTGTCCACAAGGTTTAGGAGTGTGTTTATGGGAATTTTTGACCATTCTTCCAGAAGCGCATTTGTGAGGTCGCACACTGATGTTGGACGAGAAGGCCTGGCTCTCAGTCTCCGCTCTAATTCATCCCAAAGGTGTTCTATCGGGTTGAGGTCAGGACTCTGTGCAGGCCAGTCAAGTTCATCCACACCAGACTCTGTCATCCATGTCTTTATGGACCTTGCTTTGTGCACTGGTGCACAGTCATGTTGGAAGAGGAAGGGGCCAGCTCCAAACTGTTCCCACAAAGTTGGGAGCATGGAATTGTCCAAAATGTCTTGGTATGCTGAAGCATTCAGAGTTCCTTTCCTTGGAACTAAGGGGCCAAGCCCAGCTCCTGAAAAACAACCCCACACCATAATCCCCCCTCCAACAAACTTTACACTTGGCACAATGCAGTCAGACAAGTACCGTTCTCCTGGCAACCGCCAAACCCAGACCCGTCCATCAGATTGCCAGATGGAGAAGCGCGATTCGTCACTCCAGAGAACGCGTCTCCACTGCTCTAGAGTCCAGTGGCGGCGTGCTTTACACCACCGCATCCGACGCTTTGCATTGCACTTGGTGATGTATGGCTTGGATGCAGCTGCTCGACCATGGAAACCCATTCC